GGGGCAGAATGAGAGATATTTCAGAAAATAACTGACAGGCTTTGACAACTAATTAGAGATTGGGGAAAAGAGAAGGTTTTGAACCTGGATGATTAGGAGGATTATGGTGCCATCAACAGAAATAAGGAAACTGGGAAGAAGGACAGATGCAGTTTCAGATGTGTTGAATTTAAGGTGCTGTTAGGGCATCCTGGTGGAAATGCCTAGCAAACAGAGTTAGGCTCAGGAGAAAAATAATAGGTAGAGTTACAGGTAATCATCTGCTTAGAGGTAATAATTAGACAGTAGTAAACAAAATTGCCAAGGGAAAGAATATAAAAAGACTGAGGATAAGCTTGAGGCTGCCCACAATCAGGAAGGCTAGGAAGAGAAAATATCAAATGAGTTTAAAAGGGGGCTGTCTGAAAAGAACCAGTACAAACCAGTGCCAACAATGCCACTGGAGAAGATGGTATCAAGAAGCGGTTGTTAGTTTCAAATACTGCAGAAAGGTCAAGATAGATGAGTGAGAAAAACCTACTAGAACTTGGCAATTTGGAGGTCATTAGGGACCTTGAAAAGAATGGTTGGCTGGAAATCAGATATGATGAGGATTAAGGACTGGGTAGATAAAGAGAAGGCAGACACAACTGGTAGAGATTACTTCTTCTAGAAGTACTTCACATAGCTATGAAAGGGAAGAGAAAGATGGGGCAATAGTTTAAGGGAACAATAGCATCAAAAGGAGGATTTTTTTTTGAGGATTTTGACCAGAAGAAGAGTCACTTTACCCTCTGAGATGTGAAAGAAGATAGCTAAGGATAAACAAAGATTTAAGGAAATGGAGAAACATAGTTAAGAAAAGACAAAGTATATAGCTTTAAGGTGTTTTCAGTAAAATTTCTGAGGCAAAAAAAGGGGCAAAGAAGAAAAGAACAAAATAAAGCTTAGGTCAACTGACAGCAGTCACTTTGAGGAGGATGATAGAATAAACGAAAGAAAATGTGGTTATGAGGACACAGGTGAAATCAGGATAAACCCAATTAGCCCAATTTCAAGAGGGACAAATGGTGAGGAAAAGGTAGCTTAGTTATACTTTTGCCAAGCCCAAACTCAATCTTTAATTAAGTACCACTACCCTTAGCTTACAAAAGGGCTCTGTTCCAAAAGTTTGTTTGCAATTGAGTTGTTAGGAACTCTACATGCATTTTCTCCTTGAAAAATGTTATACTGGATGGTTCTTTCCTAGGACAACCCACAAAATTCCAATTTAATCCAAAAGGCACCAGAAATTTAGTACAGGCCTCATGACCCTGGGCAATTCACTTAATAGTTCAGTGCCCTAGGCAGCTAAGAGTATAAATTGTAGAGAAGGTGCTAGCATTAAGGGGGACTGGGAAAGACTCCTTACAGAAAGTGAAATTTTAGCTGAGTCTTGAAGGAAGCCAGGGAAACCAGGAGGTGAAGTTGAGGAGAGAAAGGCAAGTCAAGTATGGAGAACAGCCAGTGAAAACAGACAGATCTGAGAGACAGAGTGTATTGTGCAAGGAGGCCAGTCACTGAATTTGAGAGAATATGGAGAGGAATAAGGTTCAAGAGGAGAGGTAGGAAGGGGTCCAGATTATATTTGATCATGGAGGTAATAAGAAGCCACAGGAGTTTCTGTCTGTGTGAGAGAGGTATGTCTCTTCTTCTTCCTACTTTCCCTGTTACTCTCTGTCACCACCCTTTCCAGTCACCCAGGCTGGCAAGCTAGGTGTCATGCTGGACTCCTTACTCTAAGTCATCCCTCGTATTCAATTTTTTGCCAAGGCCTGTTGATTCTGCCTTCACATTGCTTACATATACCTCCTTCTCTCTTCTGACGTTGCCACCACCCTGGTCCAGACCCTCCTCACCTCACACCTGGATTTCTAGTTGCTCCCTGCCTCAAGTCTTTCACTCCTCTAGTACACTCTTTACTCACTATCAAAGTGATCTTCCTAAAGTGCAGGTCTGACCATGTCTTTCCCATATTCAATAAACACCAATGGCTCACTACTGCCTCCAGGATTAAATATAAAATCCTCTGACTTTGAAAACCCTTCATAATCTGGCCCCTTCCTACCTTATCAGTCCTTTTACACCTTATTCCCCTCTATGTACCACTCAATCCACTGACACTGGAATCTCCTTTCCCCCCACCCTTAGAATGTAAGCTTTATTAGTGTAAGCAGTGTGTTTTTGCCTTTCTTTGAATCCCCAATGCTTAAAACGTTACCTGCCACACAGTAAGCTCTTAATAAATGACTGCTAACTGACTGACATTGATTGGCATCCTTACTATTCCTCAAAGATGACACTCCATTTCTTATCTGGCTGTGTGCCTCGTGCCTGGAACACTCTTCCTGTTCATTTTCACCTCCTAGTTTTCCTGGCTTCCTTCAAATCGCAGCTAAAGTTCTACCTTCTTTAAGAAGCTTTCCCCACTTCTTCTTTATAACAATAACAATAACTAGCATTTATGTGGTGTTTAGTATGTGCTAGGCACACAGATAGGTGTACAACAAGCAAAGCAGCCTCAAGAAGATTATATTCTAATACAATTCTCTGCAGAGAGAAGCTAGAGTTGAATAGGTGAAGTACATGCACTGTAGTCATCTCCAGGCCTGGAAGTGGAGAGCCTGAAACTTGCTAAGATAAGGAGAAACTTCACCAATTCACAGGATGCTGGTCAGACCACTCATCTGCTCAAACACCTTCTATGGCTCCTACTACCTATCAAATAACCTCTAAATTCCTTCAAGTCTCTCCAGTGAATAAAATCTCACTACTTAGGTCACCATTCAAGGCTACTTGAAAGTCTGAGCCCTACCTACTTTTCAAATCTTATGTCCAACTACATTAAAGCCCGGTAGTTCATGGTCTACTGTCCATTCTCTCTATAAACCTTGCATGTTCAGCCTTTGTGTATGTGCTTATGCTATTCCCACTTCCTAAAATACCACTCCCTCACCCCAGAGTGTACCTCTGGCTTCAATACCACTCCCCCTTTCAAGGTCTAGCCCACCTGCCACCTCCTCCATAAATTCAATTCAACAAACATTTTATGAAATGCCTATTTCGTGCAAGATATTGTGTTAGGCACTTGGAATATAAAGAAAAAAAACTAAATAGCGCTCATGCTCAAGGAGTTGGAGGGAGAGGTAGACACAAGACACAACAGGTATAAAAATAAGCAAATATAAAGTCATATAAAGTAATTTCAAAAGGGAGTGCTAATCACCGAAAGAATCAGGAAAAGCCTTAAAAAGCACTTCAGTTCTATTCTGAAAGAAGCTAGAAATCCTATTAAATGGAAGGGAGGAGGGAATTAAATGAAAGCACAAAAAGCAGGATGAAACATCATGGCGAAAGAACAGTTAGCAAGCCTGTTTGACTAGCATTAAAAATATAATGAAACGCAACTGGAAATGCTATGGAAGCTAGATTAGGAAGGTTTTTTAAAACACTAAGATGAGAATCTGAATTTTATTCCAGAGGCAATGGGGAAGCCTTCCATCCACTTCCTTCTTACATTTTCCTTTGTACTTAATGAGTGCTGAATGAAACTTAATTCTCTGAAACTTGAAACCTCAAAGTTATGCATGCTTTTCCCCCTTTCGATAAATAATAGAAAGTAAGGGTTAAGGGAAAAGGCAGAGTTGAGGACTATGCCAAAAATTATGATTTGTGAGATCAGAAAGATGTTAAGAGTAAATGTTTGACTGTAAACTCTTTGAGGGTGGGGGCTGTGACTTATTCCCCCTACATCTCTTCCAATCATAATCTTCCCCTTCCAGTGTAAGATCGGGAGCCACAATCTTTTCCATGAAACTTTTCTGGATCACTCTAATTTTAAGCAATCTTTCCTTCATACTTCATTTTTCAAAACCTGTCCTATGCTCTTGTTAAATAACTTGCATTCTAGTTATTTACGTGGTAGTCTTATCTAGTTACCAGACTGTAAGCTCCCTAGGGACAGTGACATCATCTTTTAAATTTGTAGTCCTAGCACCTACCCAGTGGCATGAAGGTGCTTAATAAACGATTAATAGATACTTGTGGACTAGAACTCAAGAAGAGCTGTGTTCAAAAGCTGACACTGGCCAAATCTTTTAGGTTCTGAGACTAAATTTCTTCATCTGTATGATGAGGGAGTTGGGTTCAATGGCATTCTATGATTCCTTGCAGCTCTCAATCTGTTTTCCCGAGAAATGTTTGTGAACTGGATTATTCATCTGTTTGCCCACGGCACCTGGCACAGTGCCCTGGTACATAGCAAGTCTTCAATGGATGTTTGCTGAAAGCATTAATACTAAAGTTTGCTCTTCCTCTATAGCTTCCTCCTCTCCTCCCTTGCCTCCCATCTCCTTCTCCACACTCATTCTCTATTTCCATCTACTTGCATCCAGGGTGCCCCAGGGGACAAACCTTAGTGGTGGCAGAAGAATGGCACTAGATGCTTCTGGAAGGGAGGTGCCTCCCTCTCTATTCAGCTCACCTTAAATCTCTACAGAGAAGCTTAGAGTGAGGCAGGAGGTTGTGTCTCAGTGGGGATGGAGGAAAGAAGGGGAAGTGAGAAGAGAGACAGAGAGGGGAGGAGAGGAGGAGGAAGAGCAGGAAGGAGAGGGGGAGGGGATAGGGAGAGTAGGGAAGAATGGGAGGGAATATGGGGGAAGGACAGGGAAAAGAAAGGGAGGAGACAAACAGGGAGGAGGGAAGACGGGGAGGAGAAAGAGGGGGCGGACCGGAACGAGGGGGGAGCGGTGGGTTTGGAGGGCTGAGGGAGGGATGGAGCAGCAGCCCCTCCCACACGGAAGCTCCCCTGGGAGGGGCTACACCTCCGCCTCCGCCCCCCGCAGGTCCCTCCCAAGGTGCCTCGCGGCTGGGAAGTGACCGAGGCGACCCTGGCTGGAGAGGCTCCGGGAGGACCGCGTGTCACCCCGGATTGTAACCTTCTTTCACCACCCTTAAAAAAAAAACAACGCTCTGGAGCTCACCTCCGTCCCAGACTCCGCCCTCCGGAAGTCGCCGCTCATCGCCCCTGCGGCTCTAGAGACCGGAGAGTCAACTTTCCCTCCTTCCGCGCCATTTAATGATTCCCGGGCTGGTGAGCCCTGAGAAGCCCAGCAGCCCTCCGGGAAGCATGCGCACTGCGTGAGCGGGGGCCCAAGGGAGGAGGGGTCCCGCGCACGCGCGTTTTCGAAGCCCGGGCCTCCTCTCCGCCCCAGTGCTGGCCTCACTGCCTCCTGGCCCCTCCTCCCCCAGCCTGACATCTGGACTCTCTGCTCCCCTGCGGCAAGGGTAGTTGGTCTCCAGGGGAGATGAACTGAAACAGACAGTGATACTGTTTCCTTTTTTTCTGTCCTCAAGATCAGCTAACATTTATTGGATAATTGGAGGAACTTTATGGAATGTTTACCATTTAATATACAGTCCATAAATAAGGTCTTTTTTCCTCCATTTTTAATAAGTATGCAATTTTATGTGCATATTTTAATGGTTACTTTTTTTAAAAGTAAGATTATAGTCTATATATTATATATTGATAAAGTTTCCTTCACGAGGTGTCCCCACACCGATGAAATCGAACATCCAGACAAAAATAGAAATAAATGGATTGTGTAGCACACCTTAAGCTTCCAGAATGACATAGAGCATTGGAGGGGAAGAAATTAGTAGATAAATAGCTGCTTGGCAGAATGGGCTTTTTAAACTCATTTGCAAACACTTGTGCCTAGTTTAAAGGAGACGATTTCGAGTTTGATGCTTTTTACGCTTCCCCTTTCCCCCAGTCAGTCATTCTGCCCTATTTGTCTTCATTCGATAAATATTTAAGAGTTTCTTAAGGATACCATGTGTGATACATATGTACTATCCTTTGTTCAATTCCTGAAGGATTTTGCTCTCAATATCTTTGCAGCTTTTGACTGAAGACCACCCCTCTCCTCTTAAGGCACTCAACTCTCTTGACTTCTGTAACACCTACCTGTTGCACCAATTTTCTTCCTAGTTTCCTTTGTTAAATCATCCTCCTCTGACCCACCGAGTGTCTTATCACACATTTCAACCACCTCCATCACTCTGTCTTAGATGTTCTGCTTTCCTTATACAGGTAAACTTAATCGGTAATTTCATCAGCTCATATGGGTTCAATTGTCATCTTTGCTGATGACTCCTAAATCTAAATATCTTTAGCCCTAAAGTAACCTCTCCTGAATTCCAGTATTATGTATTGTCTGATGGACATCTCTACCATATCCCAAAGACATCTCAACTCAAATTATTGCCACACTTATTCACCTTCCAAACATCATCATTTTTTTAAATGAATGAAAAAGTGTTTATTGAGCTCTTCTTCTGTACAAAAAGCTGGGGCTACAAATTAGAAAATTGAAGGAGCTCCTTTTTTTCTTTAAAATTTTTTTTTATTCTGAACTTAAAAAAACTCAAACATTACTATAACAAAATAGAATAGAAAAAAAGAGGATTGCACATGAAACTGCAAATCTGTTATATACAACCTGCTTTTCCTTTTAAATATAACTTTATTTTTTCCCTTCCCTTTCTCCTCCACCAATGGTAGATAGCCACCATTAGACAAAAATATGTGTGTGTGTGTGTATGTGTGTGTGTGTGTGTGTGTGTGTGTGTGTGTGTATGGAAAACTATACTATACTTACTTCTGTTTATCAGTTCTTTCTCTGGATGCAGTTAGCTTCTTCCTCCGTAGGTCTTTTGTAGTTAATTTGGGTATTTATAATAGTCAAAATGATGTAATTGCTCAAAGTTGTTCTTGAAACAATATTGCTGTTACAGTACATAAAAGTTCTGTTGGTTCTCATTTTGCTCTTCATTATTTCATGCAAGTCTTTCCATAAACTGCCTATACCCTTTCATCCCCATTGTTGTTAAGGGCTATCTTTTTGGTCACCCAGGTTTGCAACCTTGGAATCATCCTTGGTTTTTCCCTTTTCATTAGCCTTCCATATCCTTCCTATCCTATGCCAAGCCTTGTTGAACCTACCTCCACAGTCTACTCACTGCTCTCCACTCAAAACCGTTTCCCTACTTTGCTCTCATTATCTCTCATATGGACTTTTGCACTAGACTCCTATGTGGCATTTAGTCTTTCCCTTCTCCAGCCCATCTTAAATTGTGGCCCAAAGATATTGAAAACATTCCCCCAATTGTAAGTTCCCCTCCCATTATTGTGAATTTTTAAAAGTATACTTCTTGTAAGCAAAAACTTCTGAGGAGGGACAGGGTCAAAAGAAAGAATAGAATAAATAGTGGGGTGGGATAGGATTAGGGGAAATAGAGTTAGTTTTTCACAACATGACTACTAAGGAGTGTTTTGCATAACTGCACCTGTATAACCTATATTGAGTTGCTTGCCTTGTCAATGAGGGTGGGTGGGGAGGGAGGAAGGGAGAAAATTTGGAACCCAAAGTTTAAAAAAAGAAATGTTTTCACATGGAACTGGGAAATAAGAAATACAGGAAATGGGGTACAGAAATCTATCCTGCCCTACAGGAAAGTAGAAGGGGAAGGGGATAAGAAAAGGTGGGGAGAGATAGAAGAGAGGGCAGACCAGGGGAAGGGATATTCAGAATGCATGCCATCTTGGGGTGGGGGGAGGGGCGAGATGGGGTGAAAATTTGGAACTCAAAATCTTGTGGAAGTAAATGTTGAAAACTAAAAATAAAAGAAAAACATTTAAAAAAATATATACTTCTTGTGTCAACTTATTTGAGAATCTTGGTAGAAAGTAAGCTCCTCGAAGGCTTCCCCACCCCAGGGGCTAGCACTATACCAGGCAGCTAATAGGTGCCTGTGTGTTTTGATTAAATGATTAATATAAGGATACTTCTAATTGTCCTTCAAGCCAAGTTTAGATAAACACTTCCTTCCATTCTTGTTAGATACAGGTTAGATTTGATGCCTTCTGAGATTCTTTCCAACTCTTGAGATTTTGTGAATCTGAATTCACAAATTAAAACAGCCTGCTCTTCTAAAAAATTTATTGTGATATGATCAATGGCTTGTTTTCTCGTTGCTTCTGGTTTAAATCCAATTTTGTGCTTTGGAATAAAGTCATGATTTGTCATTTCAATTTTCTCTCCACATTTCACCTCTCAATAACGTCTCACTCCCGAAATGCTTCCACTGAACAGAAAAGAAGCTAAAATACTCACTTTGTTAATGTGCATGCATTAGGCATTGATAGGGGGAAGAAAAGATAGGGTGACCACAGATTATGGTGTGGAGAAAGAGACTAAAACATAAGCACCACCCCGTTAGAGAGTAAATGACTGTCACCATGTTGGCAAACCTATCAGGCAGCCAAAAACCATTTATAGCCATTATTATTATTAGCCCTTACGATGTGCCAGGCACTATGCTATAAGCCCTGGGGATACAAAGACAGGTAAAAGACAGACCTTCCTCTCAAGGAACTCATACCCCAATGGAGGAGACAACATGTGGATGGGGTGTAGCCTGGGTATCTTTGTTGGACGGATCATTTTTTTAGCACTTGGCAGTCTGCTCAGGGAGCTAGCATCCTCATTCCTTGAATACTTTTTGTGAGCTACTTTGTGCTTCTTTTTACTTAATTGTTAATAAAGTAGATAAAGCCTCTGAAATTCAATTAATGTTCATCACTGAATGAAAGACATAGTAATAATAATATCTATCTTGCAGGATGAAACCAAATCATTCCCAACATTGATAAGATTGTGATGATGATATAATATGAGTGAGCATAAGACCAGGCCCATACTCGTCTAGAACCTTTATGTTTTGGCATTTTGTTATATCCAATCTAAAAGCTTATTATGAAATGGGTGGCTATAAAGTAATGTCACTTTGTTTTTTGAGAAATATATACGCTACTTTTGTTTTTGAGAAAAATATAGACATATTCATGTTATATACTAAATACATACATACTCATTTGTAGAGAGTCTCATGAAATCCTAGAGCTAGAAGGGTTCTAAAGGTCATTTAGTCCAAGACCTATCTAAAGCATGAGTAGATCCCATCTCCATCTCTCACAAGTGATCATTCAGTCCTAGCTGAAAGAAGGATCTTCTATGACCAGCAACTCTCTATGAACTAGGCAGCCCTTTTTCTCTTGCATAAACACAGATCTTATCGTATCATTCCACCTTTTAAAAACTCTTTAATGTGACTCCCTATTGTCTATTAACTAAAATCCAAACTCATTAGCCTGAAGCACCTTCTTCTACAGCTCCCTCATACCTACTTGCCTTGTCTAACTATATTCCCCTGCATATAGGCCATGCTCTAGCCAACAAGTTAGGCATAACATTTCTGTATGTTCTGGTGGAATTTCTAAACCTTCTAGGTAAGTGGTTCTGGACCCCTAGAGGGTGCAAGAATTACTGCAGGGGTTCCTCAAATCCATGTGCGCAACAGTCATTTTGTCATTAGCAGTTTTCTCAATCTGTAGAAACTAATTGTACAACTACTATCATATAAGGATATGCAAAATATTTGGACTTTATAAAAGGAAACCTCCTACTTGGAAAAGGTGGAAACCATTGCTCTAGGTTTTAGCGCCATAAATTATGTGTGATTGAAAGACTCAAGACTGAATTGCTTTGAATTTAATTATTCTATTCTGGATTGTTAAAGCATTCCCATTGGGCAGATGGCATTGTGGAGTTTGAAAGCCTGAAACTTGTGCAACAGCATTGCCATTTCCAATAAAAATATGACACTAATAGTAATATAGCTAATATTTATATAGTACTCACTATGTCCTAGGAACTAGGCTAAGCGCTTTACAATTAGTATCTTTTTTGATCCTTAAAACAGCTCTGGGAGGAAGGTGCTATTATTATCCTGATTTTACAGACGAAGAAACTTAAGTAAACAGAAGTAACTTGCTCAGGGTCACACAGCTAGTGAGGAAGGAAATGGAAGTTATGAAAGGACAATAATGACTTGGTCTGCTTTTTTGAGGGAGGGGTCATCTATTAAGGTTTCCCCTTTACAACTTTCATTTCTTAATGCCTCAGAAATATTTCTTACTGAACACTGATTTTTTTTCCCTTTGATAGTCTTCAGTAGGTGTCTGTAATGTGCAACTTCCAATTTTGTCCATCTTATTTCTTTTCTCCTATATTTATAATCACATTTGAATAAATATTAATATGTAACCCAAAAACATGGTTCTTATGTGCTGATGATATTAATGGAGAAATGTTATCATCCTTATAAGGAGAAAAGGATTGGACACCAAAAGAAAACACTTATGACAAATTGTATATATATTTATTTGGTTGTGCAATTGGGGTCAAGTGACTTGCCCAGGGTCACACAGCTAGTAACTATCTGAGGCCAGATTTGAACTCATGTCCTCCTGACTCCAGGGCTAGTGCTTTATACACTGCACCATCTAGCTGCTCCGATGACAAAATATTTTTAAAATTCTTTTTATTAATTAATTTATTTTTAATTTTCAACATTTACTTCCACAAGATTTTGAATTCCAAATTTTCTCCCCATCTTGTCCCTCCCCTGCCCCAAAAGGGCATGCATTCTGAATACCACTCTCCCTAATCTGCCCTCCCTTCTATCTCTCCCCCCACCCTTCTTTTATCCCTTTCCCCTTTAATTTTCCTGCAGGGAAAGATAGATTTCTATACCCCATTGCCTATACATCTTATTTCCCAGTTGCATGTGAAAACAATTTTTAACGTTTGTTTTTAAAACTTCGAGTTCCAAATTTTCTCCCTTCCTCCCTCCCCACCCACCCTCATTGAGAAGGCAAGCAACTCAATACATGTGTAGTCATGCAAAACACTTTGATAGTAGTCATGTTGTGAAAAACTAAGTATATTTCCCTTTATCCTATCCCACCCCCCATTTATTCTATTCTCTTTTGCCCTGTCCCTCATTAGAAGTGTTTGCTCCAGATTACCCCCTCCCCCAATCTACCCTCCCCTCTATCATCACCCTGCTCTCTTGTCCTCTTCCCCCCCCCCAGGGTAAGACAAATTTCCATACCCAGTTGAGTGTGTTTGTTATTCCCTCCTTAAGTCAATTCTAATGAGAATAAGATTCACTCATTCCCTCTCACCTTCCCCAACTTCCCCTCACTATAAAAGCCTTTTCTTATCTGTTTTATATGATTTACCCCGTTATATATAATTTACCCCATTCTACATCTCCCTTTCTCCTTCTCCCAGTATAATCCTCTCTCACCCCTTAATTTTATTCTCCAGATATCACCCATTCATCTTCAACTCACCCTGTGCCCTCTATGTATCTATGGATCTATATATCTATCTATATACATACATAT